GGAATGATATAGTAACTATACATTTTTGCAGAAATTACAGACTTCTTTAAACACAAGTCTTTTCAAACAAAACTGAGCCACCAGGTACACATCTCAGCTAACAGAAAGCACACAGCACCCACCTGTCACCATTTGACTCAGGTCCAACAACAATGCTCTCGATCCCCTCCCAGGTAGGGAAGGAGAGAGATAAAAAGAGAGAGACTTGGCTGGATTGAAAACTAGACTACACAGCTTTAATTAAAACACTAATGAATGATTGTTGCCTTCTAAAGGTTTGGCAACCTGGTCCAGGAACGGCACAGCGACCCCTCTTGGCCGTCTGGGACCATCAGCACACAGACACCAATGTGGTGGATGGCAAAATGGCGTTTATTAGTGCACAATACAGCTTTTTATACCCTGGATTGTACTCTGAGTTAGCAGCGTCACTTCCGTCTGCTTACTTCATATACTAAGCCCTATTGGCTATCTAGGGGGGAGGGGGCCCTATCTTTCCGTACAACGCGATATCTTCCGGCCACCAGTCCCTGGCTACATTTTTCCCACAGGCTGCATTTTCCTACATTTCCCCCCTCCCTATGCCTAATTAAATTGCCTAAAATATAACTACCCTAAAAAATTCATGTATAAAAATCTTAAGACTTAAAACTTACTAAATGTATCTTAACCCTGATCTATGTTTCATAGCAGCATTACTTACTGGACATATCTTAACCTTATCTTATGTTTTATAGCAGCATTAGGTTTTATAGCAGCATTAGTGTATCTCTTAAAATTAAATAGGAAATATAAGGCACGTTAAATAAGAGGTAGTTAGAGGGTAACAGGATAGGGCTGAGGATAGTTGAACAAAAAACTGAGCAAAAACATTCTTAAAGCAATTGTTGGTGTTTTACCACCATAATGTTCACCTTCTCCAGCCGGCTTTTGACACACGACACAAGCCTGTTCAATATACAGGGTCCAAAAATCAAAACTGTCACGATCGTTATGATCGGCCCTGTCAGGGTAGATATCAGGGTGGTTAGCCATGGTCAGTGGTTAAACCATGATGAAAACGAGCTTTGTTGTGCCTCTTGTTCCCTTCTTCATTTTTCCAGTCCCTCCCGTAATTTGGCCATTGTGTCCCTCACTATTCTGGTGTGATCCACATACACACAACATTCCTCCTGCGGTGCAGCACATACTCCTCCTTGCTGTAAAAACATTAAGTCTAACCCTCTTCTGTTTTGCAATACTACTTCAGACAGTGACCTGAGTGATTGTTCCAAGGCACTGATTGATTGTTCAATTCTAGCCAGATCCTCATCTACTGCCATCCTCAAGGCACTAAATTCTTTGTCCTGTCGAACTAAAGATGCCACTCCTGTACCTGCTCCCGCTCCTCCTAAGATCATTAAAGTACCTAATGTTAGTGCTGTAAAAAGCTCTCGTCTTGACAGATGATGCTCTGGGATAATCACTGAGTCATAGACAAAGTCTTCAGAGTGATAAAAGATCTTAGCGACTATGGTTACCTGGACACAATATTCTGAGGACTCTTTGATCCCGTCCAATGGCACACATGGTGTAATTCCTGCAAGAGAGCAAACCCACTTGGTATTGTTGGCTGGCACTAACCACTTGGCAGGGGTCTTAATTTGGATCCACTTGGCACACAGTTGTTCTTTGTGTTTTGGGACTTTACCCACACACATGCCTCTTCCCACCACCTGCTCTAACGTAATCCCTAGCTTTTCTGTGTCCCAATTACACTGAGCCGGATTTGCATTGTTCTCAAGTGTGGGTGTGTTGCTGATTCCCACAGCCTCATAGAAGGGTGGTTTTACGCCATAGCACAGCCAACAATGCTCTGTAAAATTTGGGTTAGTTTTGTTCAGTACCTGATAGCTAGCCTGCATCATTTTCCAGAGAGAGTTGTCACTAAAAGGACTGGTAGTGGGCCTAACAGGTGCGATAGCTCTTTTTGTCTGGGAAGAGTAGGCAGCACCCACTAATACCCTAATAATTTAGAGAAAGAATGAATAGATGAGAACCACATTTCTGCCTAAGAAAATATGCTTTTTTGCTTGCTGAGCTGATCTTTCAGGCTGCACCATCTGCCGGACCAGGCAACATACTTCTAACAATGAGATCCAGGCATGCAGTGAAGAGATTAATTCACATCAGCTATAATACCTATTGAAACAACTCATTGAATCAGCCAGGTTGTGCCATCCCACATGCCTGACAGGCTTAATCTAATGTCTCATTTTGGCCTTGGGGGTTATCAGTGGGCAACTCTACCTACTAAGTGATTGAAAAGACATTTTCCCAGGTCAGTTTCTGTTTCCTGGAATTCAGGCATTGCTGACTATCTTCCCTGTGTTGCCCATTCCAGTCTTTCCTTTCCAATCTTATCTCCTAGAGGGCATATGCAGCTTTTTATTAACTAGAAATCAAAGTATGAAATCAGCAATATTCTGATTTCAGAGAAGCTCTGAAGGTACCATGTGGGCTTGTAATGGCACCAAGTTAACACTGTATTGATCTAAAAAACTTGTAGTTCCTCTGAAAACATAGAAGCTGATTCATCTAAGAGGTCAAATGTTGTTTCCTTATGCCTGCAAAACCTTGAAATATGTTACACCTGTAGGACACAAGGAATTTCAGGAATGATATAGTAACTATACATTTTTGCAGAAATTACAGACTTCTTTAAACACAAGTCTTTTCAAACAAAACTGAGCCACCAGGTACACATCTCAGCTAACAGAAAGCACACAGCACCCACCTGTCACCATTTGACTCAGGTCCAACAACAATGCTCTCGATCCCCTCCCAGGTAGGGAAGGAGAGAGATAAAAAGAGAGAGACTTGGCTGGATTGAAAACTAGACTACACAGCTTTAATTAAAACACTAATGAATGATTGTTGCCTTCTAAAGGTTTGGCAACCTGGTCCAGGAACGGCACAGCGACCCCTCTTGGCCGTCTGGGACCATCAGCACACAGACACCAATGTGGTGGATGGCAAAATGGCGTTTATTAGTGCACAATACAGCTTTTTATACCCTGGATTGTACTCTGAGTTAGCAGCGTCACTTCCGTCTGCTTACTTCATATACTAAGCCCTATTGGCTATCTAGGGGGGAGGGGGCCCTATCTTTCCGTACAACGCGATATCTTCCGGCCACCAGTCCCTGGCTACATTTTTCCCACAGGCTGCATTTTCCCACATTTCCCCCCTCCCTATGCCTAATTAAATTGCCTAAAATATAACTACCCTAAAAAATTCATGTATAAAAATCTTAAGACTTAAAACTTACTAAATGTATCTTAACCCTGATCTATGTTTCATAGCAGCATTACTTACTGGACATATCTTAACCTTATCTTATGTTTTATAGCAGCATTAGGTTTTATAGCAGCATTAGTGTATCTCTTAAAATTAAATAGGAAATATAAGGCACGTTAAATAAGAGGTAGTTAGAGGGTAACAGGATAGGGCTGAGGATAGTTGAACAAAAAACTGAGCAAAAACATTCTTAAAGCAATTGTTGGTGTTTTACCACCATAATGTTCACCTTCTCCAGCCGGCTTTTGACACACGACACAAGCCTGTTCAATATACAGGGTCCAAAAATCAAAACTGTCACGATCGTTATGATCGGCCCTGTCAGGGTAGATATCAGGGTGGTTAGCCATGGTCAGTGGTTAAACCATGATGAAAACGAGCTTTGTTGTGCCTCTTGTTCCCTTCTTCATTTTTCCAGTCCCTCCCGTAATTTGGCCATTGTGTCCCTCACTATTCTGGTGTGATCCACATACACACAACATTCCTCCTGCGGTGCAGCACATACTCCTCCTTGCTGTAAAAACATTAAGTCTAACCCTCTTCTGTTTTGCAATACTACTTCAGACAGTGACCTGAGTGATTGTTCCAAGGCACTGATTGATTGTTCAATTCTAGCCAGATCCTCATCTACTGCCATCCTCAAGGCACTAAATTCTTTGTCCTGTCGAACTAAAGATGCCACTCCTGTACCTGCTCCCGCTCCTCCTAAGATCATTAAAGTACCTATTGTTAGTGCTGTAAAGAGCTCTTGTTTTGACAGATGATGCTCTGGGGTAATCACTGAGTCATAGATAAAGTCTTCAGAGTGATAAAAGATCTTAGGGACTACAGCTACCTGGACACAATATTCTGAGGACTCAGTGATCCCATCCAACAGCACACATGGTGTAATTCCCGCGAGAGAGCAAACCCACTTGGTATTGTTGGCTGGCACTAACCACTTGGCAGGGGTCTTAATTTGGATCCACTTAGCACACAGTTGTTCTTTGTGTTTTGGGACTTTACCCACACACATGCCTCTTCCCACCACCTGCTCTAACGTAATCCCT